CTAGTATAAGTGCAATTACTATAAAGAAGAGAAAACCTAAAGTAAACTCAAAACATGCTATTAAAGTCTAGTTAGAAGCTGTGGCCTGGTTGAAGGTAAACCTCTTTTTTTGCAAACAAGCAAAAAAACAAACAAATAACAAGAAAACTCTGGCAAGTGTTACAGTCAGATGAGCGCTGAACGGGGTCTTTTCCTAAGTGTACTTGTAAGGACTGTGTTAGCTTTTTCTCACTATGTGGTTCAGGGTTATTTAATACCGTATCAGTGTACCATTCAAAACCACGCACTGTATTATTTGAATTCCACAGTTTGGAATTCATGCTTTGGGGTAAAATAGGTTAAAGCCTTTTTCTCTTCTCTAGGAAGTTTCAGTTTTGTGTCCATATGCATTTGTGTCATCTGGGCTGGACAATATATGGAGCCATTCTCATCTTGGAGTCTCTAACCCTGTTGAACTTGGCCTTTGGATTCTGGCTGATATTAAAGTAGCATGGCATTCAGCAACGTTTATGAGTCTGTTTCCGAGCTCAGAAGCGGAACTATTTTGAGGCAGCATATGATGGCAGCTGAGAATGACGCAGGCATAAACAAAGGGGAATTTGTCTATGTGAAAAGAATTGGAAGAATCTCTGAGCTGCTTCATTGGGTTTTCCCAAGTGGCGATGCACAGAACTGCTGCTGGGACCTCCCAGGCCGAGTGCTACAGCCACACAACTGCTAGCTCCCTGGGATGAGTTGTGCATCTCAAGGAGCAGCCCTGTGTGAGGTCAGTCCTATGAGAGAATAACAAGAGAAAAGCTGGTGGAGGGTTTGTCCATATGGTTTCAGAAATGTCAAGCTGGGTGTGGTCACACACTGGTAATCCCAGCATTCTGAGGCTAACGCAGGAGGATTCTGAGTCCTATCTAGGCAGTTTAGCAAAATCTGTGGGGAGGAGGAGTAAGAGGGAGAGCAGGGAGGGGTGAAGAAGAGAGGGAGGGCCAGGGATGCAGTTCAATGCCAAGGTGAGTCCAACCTCCAGTATCACCTAAAAAGCAAGAAAAAAGGTCAACAGATACTCAGACGATTGGGGACTACATGTCTCCATGTAGCTTGTCAGCCATGCTACGGCATCATGGACCTTGAAAACATGGTGCCATATGAAAACAGACACAGAAGGACACATAAGTATGATCCCGTATATGTGAAGTGTCCAGAACAGGCAAATCCACAGATGCAGAGAGCGGTTAGTGGCTGCCAGGGCTCGAAAGCAGGGAAAATGGGCAGGGACTGATGAATGGAAACAGTTTCCTTGCAGGGTGGTGAAACGTTCTAGATGGTGATGATGGATGAACAATATTTTGAATATACTCTCATGGATGGCAAGTTTTATACTGTGTGTATTTACTACAATAAAAATATGTCCCCTTCTGTTACTTTTGTAATTACAAAGGAAAAATGTTCAGTGAATGAAGCTGGCAGACCATAGCCAGCTAGTCACAGCTGATGTCAGCAGTAATTGGGGAGTCTGACAGAATGTGCCTCCTGCGGGGTATTCTGACATATTACTTAGGTAATTTTCCTGCCAAGGAAACATTACCTGAATTGGATAGTGAGAAATTGCAGAACATAAATTTACTGAAAATTTCATCCAATCAGTGATCGATACTCTTAAGTAATATCAATGTCATGGAAAACAAAGACAGATGGAGGAACCATTCTAGACTGGAGACTAAAGAGACTTAACAATAAAATGTGGTTCATCATCTTGGATTGGATCCTGGGTAAGGAAAAAGGAATGTTACACAGAGGATGATTGAGGAGATTTGAAGGTGGACTCCAGATGAGATAATAGGACTCTATTATATTTCTTAATTGCAATATTGTCCTTTGAGTATGTAAGAAAATGCTCATTTTTTAGAATTACATGGTAGAATTTTGATTTTAAGCAGCTTACTCTCAAGTGGTTCAAAAAATATGTTGTGTGTGTGCACATACATGTGTATTATTCCATTTAAAATGGGGTTAAAATTTTATCATAAAAATGGTCTGATTTGGAATATATTTTTAAAATTTAACTTTATTATTTATAAAAAATTGGTAATAGACCCAGATTGCAAATTATTGGGATGGAAGAAGACTGAACCAAATGTTGATTTTAGGGGCAGTGCATTGTATCTTCCAGTCAGATTGCTGATGGGATGTCTTCACTGAACATTGGAGTTTTGTTGACCAGCATGATGATCATATTTATAAAAATGTTCAGAGATTTACTTGATTTTCTCAAGTGTGACTTTTAGTCTTTTGGTATCCAAAGCATTCTTTTGAATTTGTTGTTCCAGCCGTATCATCTCTGTTTGTTTGATTTTTTTCTTCTCTTATTGCAAACTAGCCTGTCTCGGACAGGTTCTCACACGTGAATGCCCTTAGTGCCCTTTGAGCAGTTACCCGGTGTCACTTTCATTAGATAGTGTAACAAGTTCTTTTGCAGCAATCTCTAATTTCACTTTGCAGTCACTTCCTTTTGTACATGACTCAGATTATTTTACCAGAGTAAAAAAATTACCCTGCATTCTCAGTGGCCTAATATTCAGAGGCCTATTTCTCAATTGTGTCTCTGTCCAAGGTATGAAATTCCAGTGTTGTAGGCTATACCATTTTAACTTTCTCATGGGGACCTGTGGAAGACTCACAACTGGTCTTCTGTGTTCAACATGGAAATGACACATTGCCCAGCCTACCCACAGGGGAGTCTGGGAAATGTAGTCTTCCTGTGAGATCAGAGAGGGAAGAGAAATGGTGGCTGTCTACCACCCATTGTATTTTGGGGATAGGTATTAGGAGGAGCAGTGTTAGAGTAGGGACTAATTTTTTTTTAAGTGTCAGATATGCATAAATACTTTTGTATTGCTACCGTTTTTGTCTTGTTAGAAAGCAGGGCCTCTGATAATATAAACTCAGATGATGAGTTCCTGGAATCGAGGAGGTCAGGGATAGCATTTTGTTTGTTTGTTTGTTTGTTTATCTGTTTGCTGGGGAATTGAACCTTGGACCTTGGGCATGCTAAGCAAACGCTCTGCCACTGAGCCACTCCCCAGCCCAGGAACAGCATGTTTGCACACTGAGCTGCTCCTTCTTGACCCTGTGCCTGCAGCTTGCTGAGGAAGTACAGTACTTTTCTGAGTTACGAAATTTAATGGGTCCTTGTCATTCTGTTCCACAAGAAATTCTTATTTTATTTTATTTTATTTAAGGAGAAAAAAAAAACAGAAAAAGGGTACAAGTTATACAGACTTTCAGAAAAAATAAACAGTAGGAAATCACTAGTTAATTACATATTGTCATCTTAGAAATAATTGTTGAAGTTACAAAATTAAAGCATATAAAGTGGACTTTCAAACAGTGAGACTGCAAACAGTTTTGTTCAATGATCCAACAAAACTCAGTAATATGGTTATCTATCTTATACACTTAAATATATATGCAGTTATATCTTTTAGAGAACTTTCTTTTCCTTTCTTTTGTACAATGACAATTACACATTTTGGGTTTTATTACTCCCACAGTTCTTATTACTTTTTTTTTTTTTTTTTTTGAAGAAAGTAAAACCAAATGTGACATACCAGGACAGAGTCAGTCAAATCAAAAGGATGGACATAATACATAATGTAAAAACAAAATACAAAGTGATCAACAATGGTTACTGAAAGGTTTGGCCCAGACAGGACACTGTAGCCAGGAAAGCCACAACCGGAAGCAGGAAGCCCCATCTTGCCCTGCCCCTAGGAAGTTACCTGTGACGCCATCTTCCCGCCCCTGGGAATTTACATATGGCGCCAAACCTAGGACCAATGGGCTACCTGTGTATCCCTAATGCCCGCCTTAGGTTCCACCCCAAACCGAGGTTATTTACAGGCCCCCACGCCACGTGTCCGCCGGAGAGATCGCCTGACGCCAGCGGTGGGGTTGCCGGTCATCTCTCTCCGTGTTCTCAGAATAAAGGCCGCTTTTTATTTTATATTTCTCATCTTTTGTTAATATTATTCATCTTTTGGAAATAACTCTATCAGTTACCATACTGCCTCTTGCTATCTTAAGAAGAATTGCCTAAATCATCAGTTATAATAAAATTGAACAAAACAGTGAAGAATAAGACCAATAAAATCAAAACATTTGAGACATTACAGAACTTCAAAAGAAGATAATAGTCAATCAGAATGGGCGTCACAATGAATCTTATTGTCTTCATAGTTATTGCCTATACTTTCAAACTTGGTACTATCAAGCATAACAGAATAGAGGAAAATCAGTCAAAACAAGATGGTGAGAGCAATACAGAGTTTCAAATCAAATTAATAGGAAATCAAAGTGGGTAACTATAATATATCCTGCTATTTTTTAAATTTATTTTTCCCTTAATTAAAAGGATAAAAATGAAAAAGTAGGTAATAAAAAGGAGATTGAGATAAAAAAGAAGGCATAACAACAAAACAGCGCAGGTCAAAACATAGCCATTTAAGCAAAATAGTGTTTTACCACAAGATAATCTCGACGTAATAGTAGTTACCATAGTGTCTCTTCCCTTAAAATCTTTGGGTATAACTTGGTATACTGTAGCATCAAACGTATCAAGACAATGTAAAACCGTTCAAGAGAATGACAGTATTACAGGGTACTTAGAATCAACTAACGGAAAATGAACATGGTTTCTGTGTAATCTCCTTTCCACAAGAAATTCTTGGTATCCAGATTCAGCAGCACCGCTGGCCAGATGCTGGTCCTCTAAAGAGGAAGATGAGAAGTGTTATTTTTTATTTTTCTAAGGCCCCATTAAGAGTTGTTTATTTATAGCCAAGTGTGACACAAGCCTGGAATCTTGGCACTCAGTTGACTGAAGCAGGAAGATTGCGAGTTTGAGGTGAGGCTAGCAACTTAGACCTGTCTCAAAAAGCAAAACCAAAATTGGCTCATTTGTCATTTGAATTTTGTTCTGTCACTGAACTTGTCCCTCCTCCTTTTAGCACATCCTTTTTGGGCTTCAGCGTGACCCCTCGGCCCACCCTGCTCTGTGAACATGTTGGTGCTTCTTTTCTTCATCATTGCCTTCCACATCACCTCTGCAGCACTGCTATTCATTGCCACCATCGACAATGTGAGTTTTTGTTCCCACTGACCATTTAGGGGCCCTTGCATGGTAGAGTCACCAGAAAACAGGGTTGACTTGACAGTGATTTAGGGGTGGCCTCCCTGGCAAAGTGTCTCCAGAGCCTCTTTATTAGCTTCCCCACCACTGAGGCACAATATCTACCACCCATAGTTTAAAGGAGGAGAGGTTTAAGTTGGCTCATCGTTTTGGGGGGTTCAGTCCATGGTCATCTGGATCCAAGGCAGGAACATCATGGTGGAATGGCATGGTAGAACACAGCTGCTTAGTTTATGGCATCTGGGAAGTGGAGCAGGGAAACAGAGCCAGAAAGGAAGGCACCAGGGATCAGATATAGACCCCAAGGTCACACCTCCAGCGTGTGCACTGACTCACCTAGAAGCATGCTCCACCAGTCCCCTGGATGGCACCCATGCCAATCATGCTGACACAATCAAGTTTAGCCTCCACAGCCTCTGTGGGGCTTCTAGAGCATCACCTATTCATGTTTGGACTGCAAGATCTGGAGGATAGGGACCTGTGTCTGCTCCCCCCACGGAGCCTACTGGGAAGCGTCACTCTGGGAAGCCATTTGAGGACTGTGTGTGAATTCAGCTCTCCTGCAGATCTTGGCTCTTAACTTCAAGACAGTCATCATCTGGGCTGTATAATGCTCAGTTTCAGGGGCTGCTCTGCCCACTGAAGGGACCTAGTAGCATGTCACTTGATGCCACTAAGACCTCCACCTCTATTTATAAAAATCGAAGCTCTCTTCAGACATTGCTTCCTATTTTACAGAAAACAAAATCACAGAGGGCCACTGTCCTAGATTCCCAGGTGACCCATCCCAGGCCACCTCCATTTGCTGCTCCCAACACCTCCTTACCAGCCAGGAAGCCTAGCTCACTTGGCCATGCCCTCCTTGCAGAGCTCATGCATGGAACTTTCCAGACTCTCCACATGACCCATGAAAATTTAACTCTTCCCTTTAGTATCTAGCTGGCAGCCATATGGCAAGAGCATTTTTGATAATCTCTTGGTTTACATTCAGATCCCTCCAGGCAGGAAGTGAAGCTTTTAACAGAGATCCACTTGGGCCAATGCCCTGATCCAAAGGCCTGGCTTCAATCCTGATGGTTTCAGACTGCAGAGATATTTAAAGAGCTGAAACACTACTCAGCAGGCCCAAAAGTGGTCACCACCTCTGCCCACATAGTGATCCCTTACGATTAATCATCTCAGACCAGTAACACCTGCCACTCGTTAATACCTGGTCACTGTGATCTGCATGCTTCCTTTGATGGCAGTGATTTCCTGATGAGGGAACTGAGCCTCCGCCAGTTCAGGCCCTTACCAGAGTTTACACTGCAGGATTTCCACACCCTGGAGGCTACAGGTCCGAGATTCTGTCAGGGAGGAGGCTGGTATTGGATATTCTCTTAGAATTCCCTATTTCTAGTCCTGGCATTGCATCCTTTGGGATCCTAAAAAGGTACCAGACTTAGGGAAAAGGATAGATGGGCTTTAGGAGTAGAACCCTGCCACCTACCCTTTTACTGCAGAGTCTGTGGAAGACATGGTGCTTGTCACGCTCTAGGAACTGTGCTTAGCTTCATAGCTGGACCCCTAGGATCCTTTGCAGACCAGCTGGCTGGGAGGGAGGTGCCCGATCTTTGGGGCTCGGGCAGCAGAAGGAAGGCCATCCTGGGCAAGCGGAGGCAGAGAGAGCTGAGAGAGAAATGGAAGCACCAGGCAGAGGAAGGAGAGTTTGGTGTCAGCTCCTCTGCCCACGGGCTGCCCCCTCCCCGTCATCCTTTCTGGTGGGATCGTCTGTGAGTATCTTCAGCTCAGCCACATCTCCCCCATGGGCTTGGAGGATGTGAGCCCCTCTGTTCCCTCCACAGACATACAGTCTGGGCAGTTTGGGATCTTGTTACGTTAGATCTCCAGCCCCACGCCAGGCCTCCTGTCTCAGAGCCTGCCTTGTACAAGACCCTTGGTGACTCGCCTGGCCCCTGCAGTTTGAGAAGGAAGGAACCCAGTAGGCCCGGTGTTTACGCTAAGTCTCACATGCCGCTAGGAGCCCATGTCTGCCTCAGTGATCAGGATTCCTTCTCTCTGTTGCCATTTCCCCTTGCAGGCTTGGTGGGTAGGAGAAGACTTTTTTGCAGATGTCTGGAAGATATGCATCAACAACACGAACTGTACGGAAATCAGTGAAGAGTTTGTAGGTGAGTGACTTAGTGGAGCCATGGAGGAGACTGCCAAGGAGGAGACCCCTGGGGAAGGGGAGCCTCCTTCAGCGAGGTGGGGGGTGTTGTGACCCCACCTGTCTTCCACTCCCCATCTGCTGACGTGGCCTGACTTTGCTCAGGGTCTCAAGGAAGAGGGGGCAGGATGAGCTAGAGTCACAACTCAACACCTAAACTAGAGGCGGGTGGGGAAGGTCAGCTTGCTAAGAGCATTGAAGACCCTCCCTCCAGTGGAACGCACAGGTAACACTGGGAGGTCTGGAAGGTTCTTTGGCTGCCTTTGTGCTCAGACTGCATAGAGGGGTCCTCAGTGTGTACCCTACCCTCTGTCCGCAGATTATTCCATACTGAGGGCAGTTCAGGCCTCCATGATCTTCTCCACCATCCTCTGCTGCATCGCCTTCTTCATCTTCCTCCTGCAGCTCTTCCGCCTCAAGCAGGGGGAGAGGTTCCTCCTGACCGCCACCATCCAGCTCATGTCATGTGAGTCAAGCATGGAGGGGGGCAGGCATACCTCAGAAAGGAGAAATTGGCAACCGTGCCATGCCGGTGCTGTGTGCCTTGTAATCCAGAGTTTGGATTTAGTTAGTGTTTGGGGGAAGGTGGGCGAGCTGAGGCTGTGACGCCTGAGCTGGGATTGGGAAGGGAGGAAGCACTGCTGTCTACAGTGTGCCACCTTGATACCACGGGGAGGGAAGAGCGAGCTGGGGAAGGGGAATGGTGTGGCCTGAGGCCTACGCTGGGCACCTGAGAACTGGCCAGTGGGGCTGGCGTGCGGAATTGCGGGCTGTGACAGGATATGGGCCAGGCAGGCAGGCAGAGCCCACGTAGGGTTTTGCAGGCACAGAAAGACCCAGGGGTCTTTATCCAAAGTAAGTTGCAGGCCACCAACAGGTTTACAACTGTTTGGTGGCAGAAGCACACACTGTTGCCTAGGCCCGTGCAGGCTCCTGGAGGTAGAGCTGAGGACCCACAGCTTCAATTCTGGGGGAACTGAGAGTAAACAGATGCCCCAGGACACTTTCCTACCTGTGATGTTTAGCAGTGCTGAAATCAGATGAAGCCTCTGCTGTGACATGATCCTCTGTGGTTTTAATTAAGCTGGCCAAGACAAGCCTGCGCCCCTTGATGGGCCAACCTGTAAGGACTTCCTGTCCAGGGGAGAAACACATCCCCCAAGGGCACTCAGTGCTGTCAGCCTCCTGTCTGAATATTGGCACCATAGGGGTTTCAATTAGGATGCTGCTTTGGCAGCATGAAAGACAAACCCCAGTGAACAATGACTTCAGCCATAAAAAGTACTTTTTTACATAAGTAGCCTGGTGGTAGGTAGGTACCCACAGTTGGTTTGGAAGATCCTCAGCCTCACACATCCCAACTCTTTCCATCCCTCTGTTCTGTTACTTTAAGAGTATTGATGATGACTCCTACATGATCTTAAAAGGGCTGCTGTAGCACCAGACATTTTATCCTGACCTGACTGTATGTAAAGAAGCAAACAATTAAAAATGCTTTCTTTCCCCTCATCTCTTTCCAAGGAATAATACTCTTCACCGAAGGATTTTCTGTGGCCAGAAACATACAAACTACAGCCCATGCTTTGGGAAATAAAGTTATGTTGGAACACAGACACCTCCATTTGATTGCATATTGCTGCCACAGTCCGGAGACCTGAGTAGTTGTGACTGTTGTCCCCCCCACACACCAAAGCCTACTCTGTTTAGACTCAGACCCTTCATAGGACAAGTTTGCTGACCCCTGCCTTAAAACAGGTAGGACTGGTGCCTCAACAGAACTGAGTTCAGCCAGCAATAATAGGAAATACAAGGTAGGTGGCAATGTTGTCACCAAACATTAGTGTAATGTTCCCAACGGACTGAAATAAATACCCAGCAATACTAAATGCTGACGTGATCCGGCCTGCGGACCAATCTATGGGTCTCAACCTGGAGAGGGGATCGGGGATGGGGGCAGGACAAGAGAAAAGAGAGATGGAGACAGGATGAGATTCCAATCGAGTCTCGTTTATTTTCAAAATGGTTACAACTTATATAGGGTGGGGGCGGGCCATAGGCAGGAAGAAGGCTTAATCTGATAGGTCATCATCATATCCGGATATATGATGTAAGCAGGAGAGGATTATGGGTAATGTAGGCAGGCTGAAACAGGAAGTTTGCTTGTCATGTGCATTGCAGGCAAGGGGAGGATCATGGGAAATGTAGGCTGACACACAAAATGCCCTCAGGCAGGAGGGGCAGGGCAGCAGCAGCTATTTAAAACCGCTCCCTACATCTCCTCCCTTATTATTATATATATTTTTTGGAACATGGCAGGCCCTGGGAGGACAGCGCCTGCCTTGGGTCAAGGACTCCTCATATGAACCCAATCGAGCCTTACCCGTCATGGGCCTGCAGGACAGCTGTTGGTCCTGGACCTGTCTTAGGTGGCCGATTGGCATTACATATGTGTCCTAGTTGCCCGTCTCTGACTGCCTGTCCAGTGCCTCAGGGCGTCTGGGCCACAGCATCATGTGGGCCGTCAGTGGGTGAATTTTCCCGATAAGTTTGTTGTTCTGCCATTTCCAACCGATGGTAATATACCTGAATGGGCTTTGCCATAAATGTGTCAACCTTGTTATTAATGTTATTAATGAGTGTCATGATCCTCTGGAAAACACAAGGTCCTACAGTAAGCAGCAACAGCAAGGCAGTTAGGGGTCCCAAGAGGGGGGCAATGTAAGGGGAGAGATCCTCCCACATGGAGGAGAAGGTGGTTGCTCCGATGCGCTCCTTTTCTCTCTCTTCGAGGTGCTCTCTCAGTTTATTCATGGACTCTTTGACCACTCCCGAGTGGTCAGCATAAAAACAACACTCTTCCTTGAGGGCTGCACATAAGCCACCCTCCTTCATAAACAGGAGGTCTAGTCCTCTTTTATTTTGCAGGACTACCTCAGATAGAGACGTCAGGGACGCCTGTAGAGCTGTCACAGATGCTTCTATTTCTTTTAAATCCTGATCCACTGCTGCCTGTAATTGAGCTAGATGCTTATCTCCCAACACTAGAGCTGTGGTCCCTGTCCCTATTCCCGTTGCTACTCCTAACCCTAGTAACACAGCTAAGGTGAATGTCACAGGTTCTCTTTTAGATATATAGCTGGTCTGCGATGCCTGGAGGTAGTAGTCTCCTGGGTGGAAAGTTATGCGTGGAAGAACCTGTACAAGAACACAAAAATCTGTAGACTTGTTAAAAACAGCAGTTGCTATACAGGGTGATAGGCCAAAATTGCAGGCCCAAGATGTTCCTGGGGGTGGAATGAGGTAATTATTTGGCTTGAATTTGGAATGAAGTTGGGCACAGAGTTGTGCTGCCAGTGCTGGTGGACGGCTGGAATCCCCAAGACAAGTTCCTCTACCTGAGACATCAGGGAGAGTCAGCTTGTGGTGATTGTCCCAATCACAGGCAGATGAGCTAGAAGAACTGATAAAGGTTAAATTGAGGGCCTTTCCTTCATAATATGGGGGAGGAGCAGCCAAGCATAACCAACATGATTGGGTGAGATCAGGTTGGGTATGATTTAAAGCCATGTATGCTCCTTTAATCAAACTGAACAGGTTAGAATGTGAATATTGAGGGGCAGGTTTATGATCTGCCTGGTGTAGCAGAGCTTGAGAAACCGTTATGGCTGAGGGACTTACTGTAGTTATTTGAACAGTAGTAACAGGATCTGTATTGGGCTGATTGTATTTTGGATTTGGATGTAAGGGAATAGAAAAAAAGCAATCTTTAAGATCAATGACAACTTTAAAAAATCCCAGAGGAATGGCACTGGGTGAAGGGAGTCCTGGCTGCAGATGTCCCATTAAGACCATGGTCTTATTTATTGCCCTAAGGTCTTGTAGCAGCCTCCATTTCCCTGACTTTTTCCGAATAACAAAGATGGGTGTGTTCCAAGGGGAATCACTGGGGACAATGTGGCCCACATCTAACTGGTCCTGCACCAGCTGCTGTGCAGCTGCGAGCTTTTTAGAGGTAAGGGGCCACTGATCGACCCAAACAGGTTTGTCTGATAACCAAGTAATCTCTTTTGCATGGGCCGCAGGAAGGTCAATGACCCCTATTGAAAATGGCCTAGGCCTGCTTTAGAGGGGTTTGGAGTTGGGGAAATAGGCACTTTAATGCCTGAGCCTCGTTTGCCTAAACCTTGATTAGGAAGGAAGCCCTGAGTGAGCATTTGTTTGGTGACTACAGCATTGGGACTGCCCATCATCATTCCCATTTGAGTTAGCAAATCTCTGCCCCACAAGTTAAGGGGTAGCCCTTCTATAATATAGGGCTGTATGTGCCCCTGATTGTTTTCATTATCATTCCAGGTAAGTAGACTGGCACTACGTTGTGGATTTTTAGATTGTCCAATCCCTTGTAAATGCGTCATAGTGGTTTCTAAGGGCCATGTGGGAGGCCAGTCCTCCTTTCTAATGACTGTTACATCAGCACCTGTATCTATGAGCCCTGAGAAACTTTTCCCATTAAGCAATAAAGCCATAAGGGGTTTATCTTTGGAAATGAATTGAGCCCAGTATATATCTGAGGATCCAAGGGAAGAATTTCCCCTGTAGGAAGCCACAGCTGCATTAGAAGTTTGAACTAAAGGCAGCAGCGCCAACTGAGCAATACGTTGTCCTTGGCTAATAGAAACTAGGCCAGAGATAGAGGATGCCATGACAACAATTTCGCCAGTATAGTCGTTATCTATGACTCCTGGAGCAACTTGTAACCCTTTTAATATTGTGCTGCCGCGTCCAAGAATTAACCCACAAGTGCCCTTGGGAAGAGGGCCATAAATCCCGGTGGGGATGGCTTGTACTCCCATGTCGGGAGCTAATACTGCATTGGAGGCGGAACAGAGGTCCAGTCCTGCGCTTCCTGGTGTGGCGCGGAGGAGGTTTGAAATGGATTGTTTTGTGCCTGGTCTTGTTGTGTCTGGTTGTTTTGTTGTGGGACAAACCTTATAGCCCCGGAGGTCTGTCTGAGGGTGGGGGTCTGGGGCTGACCCCCAATCCCGTTTCCCTGCTGGGGGAGGGGATCGCCATCTGCATCTGTCTTTGAGATACTGCTTTTTAAAATTCTTTTAGGGCAGATACTGGGAATGGTGCATGGGCCCTATTGGCTCTCAGTGCTAGGGCCGATTGGTCTGTGTCTGTATCAGTTATGCGAGTCAGAGTCATTTTCTTCCTCACTATTATCGGTTTCTATATCTCGTCTTTGTAGACGTGGTGGCTGTCTTTTTTTATTTCCCCTAGTTGTGGTAGTGGCTTGTATTTTATCTCTTTCATGTTCCTGACTTGGGGATTGAGTCCCGTGTCTAGTTCGCCTCCTTTGTCTCCCCCTTTCCCTAATTGATTTAATGTCGCCCTCTTGTGGACTGGCACTACCTTGGGTGGGTCGAGTTGTCTCCCCACCATTGTGTAAGTTATCGCCACTCGCGCCAGCTTGGGCAACTTCTGTTACAGGAAACAATAAGGAATGTGTTACTCTCAAGGCCTCTGTTTTGGGAGGGCAGGCAGTCTCTGTAACAGGGAACATCATTGTGGGCTGACCACCTGGTGACCCTGAGATAGGCGCTATCTTAGGGAGTGGCAGGCCCGTGACGGCCGTCATTCTAGGGGGGTTTGTATGTAATGTTTGGAGCTCTAAGGAAAGCCTTTGTATATCCTTAGTCAGCTGAACCTGCTGTTGTAAATCATGAAATTGTTCCTCTAATGAGAGAAGGGCAGAAGACGGACCAGGTGGTCGCTGAAAACTGGTGGGTAGTTCTGCAGCAGCAGGAGCCATAACCCGGGGGGAATAGTATTGGGCAGCCTCTTCTGCTAATTGTGACCAATCAACTTCCTGGCCACTGGAAAGGTCAGGGTAAATAGGGCGGTATGGAGGAGGGACCATGGTGGTGCCATTTTGAGGACCCTCGTGGTCTCCAGACAAAGGGAGTGTCGGCACATCGCCATCTTGAACAGGCTCCGGGATCTCAAGGACAACAGAGCTGGGAGGGCTGGGTGCCTTAGATAAGACTGGTGGTGGCGGAGTACAATTGCGGGAGGCAGCTAACGCAGCCTCACCCTGGGCAAGCGTCTCCGCGACTTGGGGATCTGCGTGACGTTGTGCCAGCAGCTCAGAGATTAAAGCCCAATATGAAAAAGCAGTTACAGGAACCTTTTTTGGACCAAAAACTTCATAATAGTCCTTAAGAGCATTTCCTACTCTATTCCACCTGTTTAAATTAATGGTACCCTCTAGGGGGAACCATGGACACACTGAATGTATAAACTGAAAGTACTTTATTAGTTCTTTTGTCTTAACCTTGATCCCTCTAATCTTGAGAGCCTCCCTGAGGCCAGTCACGAACAATTCGTGCTCACTGAGTGCTTGTCCCATGTTAATGCCGTTCACCTACCGTGATTCAGGCGAGACGTAAGGTGGCCGTCTGCACAGATCACAGGACCAATGTCCTTGAATCAGTCACGCTGGCCAGCGCTTTACTCCTGTGAACGGTCCCGCGTCGTTATCCCTCGTGCCAGGTGAGGTCCCTTCGTGGTCGCCACTTGATCCGGCCTGCGGACCAATCTATGGGTCTCAACCTGGAGAGGGGATCGGGGATGGGGGCAGGACAAGAGAAAAGAGAGATGGAGACAGGATGAGATTCCAATCGAGTCTCGTTTATTTTCAAAATGGTTACAACTTATATAGGGTGGGGGCGGGCCATAGGCAGGAAGAAGGCTTAATCTGATAGGTCATCATCATATCCGGATATATGATGTAAGCAGGAGAGGATTATGGGTAATGTAGGCAGGCTGAAACAGGAAGTTTGCTTGTCATGTGCATTGCAGGCAAGGGGAGGATCATGGGAAATGTAGGCTGACACACAAAATGCCCTCAGGCAGGAGGGGCAGGGCAGCAGCAGCTATTTAAAACCGCTCCCTACACTGACGTGTGTGTTCAGCGCTGGCCAGATGCTCCTGACTCTGTGGAGTGCACTGTGGCTTTATTAGACTCCTGCTTTGTTCCTGACAGGTCTCTGTGTCATGATCGGTGCTTCCATTTATACGGACCGCCGCCAAGACGTTCACAGCAAAAACGAAGAGTACTACTTGCTGACCTCGGAGGGCAGTTACGGCTACTCGTACATCCTGGCCTGGGTGTCCTTCTCCTTCACCTTGATCAGCAGCCTCATGTACATGATCCTGCGGAAGCGCAAATAGAGCTGGACAGCCAGGTCACCGCAATACAGAATCCACACCAGATAACCGTTTTGTATATAATCATTTTTGTGGGTTTTCTAGCAAACATATTGTTTCCTTTAGAAGCCAAAAGGAAAAAAACAAAAAAAAGTGGAGAGAGAAAGAGGAGTTTTTGCATTTTTGAGATCAGAGAATAGGCTGGTATTCAGAGCTCCTGCCCACCCGAAAGTCTCAGCAAGACAAAGACACAATCCAGAGCGCTGCGCAGGACATTTCTTAACCTCGGGGCTGGGAGGGGGTGTGATGGGCGGAGGCGGGGTCTCGGGAGGTGCTCCCCGTAGGGTTCAGCCTCACCTCTCCATTCCCCTCCTCAACTTCCCTTCAAAGGTGGAAGATGTGGTGAGGAGGGACCCAGGTGAAGGACAACAGTGCCCGCAGACATAGAGCCCTCGTTCATGTAAGAACCAGATGTAGACGGTCCCTGATGTCTGTCTACAAGGGAACCAGAGCCTGTGCCCTCCTAAATGAGGGGGGTCACCACCCAGATTTGCTGTCAGCATCCCTTGCTTGCCTTAGGGACACTGATCCTCCACATGGCTGTCAAATTTAGGCAAAGAATCTCCACAAGGGATTCCTTAGAGAATCTTTTAGAATGCAGATTCTAGGTCCACTCTCCAGACCCTCAGCATAGGTCTTCAAGGGACCGTCCTGGGAATCTACATTTCGAACAAGCTCCTTGGAAGATGCTGGGATGCAGGAGAGCTGGGGGTCACAAGCCCCAAGCTAGGCGAGCAGGCTGCTAGTGGACCCGTATTGAGAGGCCCCGTTCCTGACCACACCTTGGCCTCCGTCAGCTCTCGGTTCTCTCTGTCTCTTCCGCAGCTGTTTACATCTGGGCCACCCGTGCTGCACGCCCAGGCACGTGTCCCAGTGGCTCCACACCTCCCCCAGACCTCTTCCTTCCCTTTCTGCCCTGCACCCTAAGGCTGGCTGCTCTGTTAAACCCTATTTCTGCAGTCCCAGGGGACCATCCATCCATCCATTCTTCATTCATTCATTTATCAACATAAATTCTGGCCAATTGCATGTCCTCATGAGGCTCAGACAGACCAGTTAGGAAAACTGACTGCAAATACAGATGGAGCTACAGAGAATTCGAAATAGACCCTGAGATTGGAGGGAGCCTACTTTACGTGCACCTGTTTTTAAATGCTCCAAGGCATTAGACCTGCCTAAATATAGTTCCACTCAGCTCAGACAGATGGCATTTATTGGGCAGCGCCTGCCTATCTTATACCCAGAAAACACTCTGTGAAAGGCCCCATAGACGCCACGCAAATGAGGCAAAAGAGGATCCTCAGAGGCGAGGTTCTGGGCCTCAGAGCCACGCAGGCTAATCTCTGGTATGACAGGATCTGGGTCTCAATTGCGCTACACACTTTCTCCCCAGGCAGGCCCTCTGTAATGCCCTGACACTACCTACAATGGCAACAAGCTAAACATCTTAGATCCTAACCTCCAGGTAATGCATGAACTCCCTTCATAAAATAACTCAGGACTGCAAGAGTTATCTGCGTCTGTACAATCCAGAATGACCTCAGATGTTTTCCTGGCTGGCTGCCCCTCCATCTGACTTTCAGGGCCCACATCCATCTGTGACACTGAGGTTTGGGGAGGACATGACAGATGCCTCTTCCCTGCTGAGTGACATGCATTTGGGAAGGTGTTGAGAGTTGATGATGTCAGGGAGAAAATAACCATCCATCTTCCCCATAGGTGGAATCAGCCCGTGGTTGGTGCTTATCAGCTATTCAAGAACAACAACCAAATTAGCTAAGACATCCAAGAAGCAAGTAGTAGGACCAAATTTATAACTGTTTGAAGGAACTGTAGTTTGCGCATCTTATGACATTTTTATAAAGTACTGTAATTCTTTCATTGGGGGGCCATGTGATGGAGGCCGACTAACTTGTTTTGTTATTTGCATTAAAATTATTTTGGGTCTCTGTTTAGATGAGTCTGGTTCAGAGTGCTTGGCGTGTTGCTTGGTGTGAATGTGTGTGCACAGACCTGAGCACAGGAGATTTGGAGGCTGCCTGGCTCCTGCCCTCGCTGCAGGTTGCCAGCCTGGTGATAGAAGAACCTATAACCCTAAGCCCTACGTAAACACACTAAACACAGCAGCCTCTGTGGGAGCTGCTTCATAGCAAAATTTGCCTGGGTTGGGAATTACTAAACCCACTAGTTAGTTACAGATTACTTACCATAGAGCAAGTTGGACAGTTTTGTGTACCAGAAGGCCACAGTGATAGGGAAATGCTAGGGAAAAGTGGAGAGGTTAATGGTGGATTTTGCTTTGGGAACCAATGTGATTTTAGGGTAGATCGAAACTTTATACTTAATGTGCCTTTAAAATAATCCGTTTTCTATGTTTTGTAGAGGCTGCAAGTGTACATGAAAAATAAATCTTAAAATCAAATTTCCCAGAGCAACAGACTCTAAAGTTGCTTAGTGTGGTAACATCTAGGAGGAAATGCTCCCATTGGGAGTGGGAGGTGTCACAGATGCCTCAGGAAGATGAAAACAGTTGTCAGGGCAGGCCGCCCCTGAATGGCTGTTAGCCACGGGATAATCACCCTTGCCCTCCGATTTCTGGCATGGTGGCTGCATAAGCTGTATAGTCCCACATGTTGAAGTGCCCAGTGCTTGGTGAAAGATCTGTTAGTCCCATTTGAAGATCCGTAGTGACCTTTGATCAAGCAGCTTCATGTTTCCGTTTTGCAGAGGTTCCTGAAAAGTAATTGTCTTGGTCACTTCCCCATTGCTGGGACAGAACACCCAATGCCTACCACTTACAGGAAGTGGCTAACAGACTTCAGTGGGTTCAGTCTGTTGGCAGAAACAACATACAAGCAGCAGAGAGGGGCCTGGAGAGAGCCAGTTGCTCGACCCATGGCATACAGGAAGCAGAATATGAAGGGAGGAGCCAGGGACATGAATACACCTTCCTAGGTCACACATCCCCATTGTCTGGTCCCCAGCGTGGTCCAGCCTTCCAACAGCTACTGAACTCATCAATGAATGAACCCACTGGTGAGGATAGCGCTCCCATCATCCAATTACCTTCCAAATATGAGACTTTTGGGAAGGTACATTTTAGATCTAAATTGTAACAGTAATTGATCTTACTCTTTGCTGTAAACCCAGACTGGCCTCAAACTCTTGGGCTTAAGCGATCCTCCTGCCTCAACTTCTCCAGTAGCTAGACTACAGGTTTGCACCAGCATGTCCAACTCCTGGTCCTGTTCTTTAGTTTGTATTTTAATAGAACTGTGCTTTAAGGGGGGTGGGTCATGGTGAACATTGAACTATTTCTCCAGCATATTCTGGTGAAAACTGAGAAATTCAGTTATACATGGACAGATCTTTAATTTTTGTCCAGCAAATGTCAAAGGTAGCCAGAATGCTTTATTTCATTGTTTCTATACAGGGATCACAAACATAAAATCTCTATAGATTACTATTTATAGTCTTTGCATTTCTAGGTCTGTCTTGTTTTTCTTTTTTTGGCTGTGTGGCAGACGGATGGTGGTGACCCCAAGAACACTGTATTTTATATCTTCCACTCAGGAAATCAGGCTACTAATTCAATCAGTCGGTCAGTCAGTTGACAAATATTTGTGTACCTACTATGCCCCAGGCACCGTGCTACTCTAGTCCTGTGGGTAGTTCTTAGCAAAGGATCTGGGAAGTTGGTTCAAATAAGGAATCTTGTCTTGGTCTTACCCAGAGCCCAGTAGGCCAGGACTGTCTTGCTACATGTTTTTATTTGGGCCATGTAGTCAGGAGTTGTGAGAAGAACAATTACAATCAGGACACAATAGGAAATCTGTCCATAACACTAAAGACCCAGAATATTCAGCCAACAGCCTGGATCCCACAGCAATGTGCTGCATAGTCCAGATGAAAACCTAGAGCCCAAGACTGCCTCCCACAAGTCCAACTGGAGGCCTAGAGCTCAAATAGTTGAGCAAAATGTGAAAAGACTAATTCCTGGTGACAGGCGAATGTGATACTAAGCTCAATTTCAGGGTGAGTTTTGTTGAAACACAGCCATGTCCATTTTTGAAGCTGCTGTGTGTGGCCGTGTTTGTGTGACAGTGACAGTCAACACAGCAACCTCAGGGTCCTCAGTGCCTAAGAATGTGCTGTTATCTGCCCCTGATCAGACAGTGTCCACTGACTTTTATTTTTCTTTGTGGTACTGGGGATTGAATCCAGGGCTTTTGCCTGAGCTGCATCCCAGCCCCTTTTTAGTTCTGATTTTGAGGCAGGATCTCACTAAGTTGCTAAATTGCCTGGGCTGGGCTTGAACTTGCACTCTTCCTGCCTCAGCCTCCCAAAGTGCTGAGATGACAGATGTGTGCCACCATGCCTGTTAGCACTCTTGGTTAGAGTTTGACTTGCCCATCCTTTAAATCTAACCCTTGGATTATGTGGCAGGTGCCATCAAATCTCCATCCATGTAGAGAGCAGGTGTTGCAGAAAGCATTTTAGGAAAGCCATATTTTCTTCTACTTTTGGAGTTCAGTGAACCAGTTTTGCCCCAAGACTTACTTTTTCTTGTAGAATCTGACTGAAGGCTAAGAAGTTGACCATGGCAACCAACATCGTGATGTATTTCAGTGATTTCTCCCCATACTTCCACCTCCACAAATTCATGGTTGCTGTGAAAAACGTGGTAATTTAAGCCAAATCCACATCACCCTAGTTTGTAAATAGAGTTTTACTGGACATAGCCACGATTAGTCGTTTACATGGTATTCATAGTTTCAAGTGAGGAGACCGCAGGAATCATATAAGCCCGGAACAGTCCAGAAGACTGAGGTGCAGGTAAGACTAGCACCATCTAGTGGTGACGTGTGGTATTACAGCAACAAAAGCATCAGTTCACATCCAATCTAGTAACGCCTATGCGCTGGTGAGAACCAATGGGAGTTAAGTCTTTATTGATTTAAATCTTTCTGCCAGATTCCCTGCTATGTACTGATTTTTACTGATCCCACTTTATTCATTTTAGCTATGATTTTTGTAACCTTGTTTTCCTTAGAGTGTTACTACCTCAAGTTAGAGTTACCGCTTGCAATTGGGTATTGACATAGAATTTACTAAATAACTGCAGCTCTCCACATCTGTAGGTTTCATATCTCTAGGTTAGGTGTCTTGGAATCAATCTCAGCTGAAGATTGGTACCAGGACTCGTACTCAGGACGCTGTGCTTGCCAAGCAAGCACTGTGCCACTGAGCTATATCCTCAGCCCTTGGCTCGAAAATTTAAAAAATTACAAAAAAATTACATGTGTACTGAACATATAAGGGCATTTTCCCTTCTTACTGTTTCCTAAAGGATACAGTCTAAGAAACATTTACATAGTACTCACATAGTATTAGGTATTAAGCCTAGTGATGACTTAAAGTATGAGAGGATGTATGCAGGCTACATGCAAATCCTATGGCATTTTATATAAGGGACTTCAGCATCCGTGGGTTTCAGTATACACGAGGGACCCTGGAACCAGTTTTTCTCAGACACCAGTGGATGATCATACTTCAAATACTTTTTAAAAGTACGAACACATTTTGAAGTCATTTTAAGCAGATATGTTGCAAAAAGCATTGTGAATGCTCTTTCAAGATTTTTCATCATCAGAGCTCCATACTTGACCTTGTAGGACAGAGTGTCTCAGTCTCAGCACCACTGACATTAGACTGGAAAATCTGGAGGTGTGCAGGCATCCTGGACCCAGTGGATGGTCCTCAGGATCCGTGACCTCTAGCCACTGGATGTCAACAGTACAAGGTATGGTCAATAAATACAGTGAATGCTTACATTAAAAAAAAAAACTTTAAAGTAAGTGATGAGTCACTGTTAATTCTCAAAATACTCCCACTTGCTTCACACACACTTACTCTATCATTCTTGCTTTCTGAAATAGTTCTGGAAGTCCTGTTTGCTAAGTGTCTTTAGTTGTGCTGTTGAGGCTGCCGCTGTGTCTTGAGTGAATTCAAAATGTTGACCTCTCATGGTCATTTTGACTTTGGAAAAGAACCAGAAGTTGCATGGTGCCAGATGCAAGAGTAAGGTGGACAAAGACACCGATTTATTCACCAGCCAGCCTTTACACTTGATGGCATTTAGCATCAGGATTCGCCATATTTTGTTTTAATCACATCTTATCAAGATGCTTTTAAAAGAGGACTTCCGGAATTGCTTCAGAAAGAGACAAGAACAATGGGATAAGAAAGGAAGGGAAAAGAAAAGAGAAGAGAAGGAAAAATGAAAACAAAGCTTTTATAAATGAGGAAAGGAAGAAGGAGTCAAAGGAAAGGAGGTGGTTGGGGAAAAAAGAATCAAAGTATACTACGTACAGGTACCAGTTCCCTGTGATGAATGTGGTCATTATGTGTAACTGAAATGCACCAATAAAATCAATTTATAAAATAAATGAAAAAGAACAATGAGACAAGTATGTGAGAAATGAGGAAGAGTATTTTGCAGAGCTGTTAATGACAATGTGTCTTTTACCTAATAAATTCTTTATTTTCAATTTAGACATTCTTTGTATTTTTTTTTTAATTACACCCGGAACACTCCTGCCACTACCATGTGGCAAACAACTATCTCCAGACATGATTGTAGTCCCTTGCGGGCAGGGTTTGATGTTTGTCAGGATATGCAGTGACCAGCAGTCTGGATATGAGGGGTGCTACTGGGGGCTGTTGAAATTGACACCGAAGGTGGTCAACCCAAAGCAACACAGGATGGGGAGGAAGACAGGACAGAGGCAATGACTGTCCTCCCTGCCAGGACCTTCAGACTCTTAAGCCAGGAGTGCAGCCCAACATGCTCCTTCCCAAAGCTCACACTGTGTTTGCTCAAGAGCCTGTCATCAGCTGGAGCAAACAGAAAGAGAGGAACCTTTGCTCCTCTGTGTTCTGAGAGACAATAGTG